TTGAAGTTCATCAATATTCAGACAAGAAATTCAGCTAAAATGCATTCACTGCAAAGGAGCAATTGGTGAGCAATTGATGAAATGCTAAATATAAAGGTGCTTAAAAGGTCCTTCACATCGATGCCATAGAAGAAACATTTTTGGTTCCACAAAGAACCATTCAGTTAAAGAACCATCTCTTTCTTACCTTTTTATAATCTGAAGAACCTTCTTTAGCAACAAAGAACAGAAAGGTTCTTCAGATGTTAAAGGTTCTTTATAGAACCATTTAGACAAAAAGGTTCTTTTATGGCATCGTGAAGCACCTCTCTGATGAAGAAACTGATCTACATCTTGGATGGCCTGAGGGTGCATTTCAGCAAATTTTCATTTTAGGTAAACGCTTCCTTTAAGCAAATTTGTTAAAATGTTTGTTCTTTCACTTTGTAGACCATCTAGTCCTGACATGTAAACTAAGGCTGTAAAAAATGAACTAATGAAAAGGCTAATCCTCTGTTTGCTTTCTCTGGACTGTAAGATAAGACATGTCAGGGATCAACTGGATGCTTCTTTCCTCGAGAATCATAAAGAGAAAATCACTTATCTCCTCTGAACTGATGTGAATGTTCACGTTACCTGCACATGATCATGTGACAGTTCTAATCAGAGGACAAACACGTTATTATGATCTAATAGAATCAGGGCTCACAAAGTTTGATAAGTGCTTTAAACAAAAGATTTAAAGATGGCACCACAATAAAAAAAAAAATCCAAAATGTTTTCCATTTTGCTTTGCAATTTACATCAGTCTATGTAGTGGATGAGGTTTATGGGCATCCGAAGGGGAGACTTTTGTCCACTGGACTTGGGTTTGGTGTGTCATAAGTGACTAAAGCTCAGAACCCACAAATGCAAAGTTCTAGTCCTACAAAGAGCAAGTCATGATGACAGCATTTATCCTTGAGCAAGACTCTTCATTCAGATTACTGCAGGCAGGATAGAAGTGTCAGTGAAATTCTTTCTACTATTGCAAATATGCCTATAGCTCTAGAGTTTATGTATTTTCCTTTTATAACTTTATGACTGTAGAGGAGAAATTATGTCTCTGGAAATTGTAGACTGAGCGAGAATATTCCACGAACACCTTCGGATTGTGAAGGAGGAACCAGACACATTTCCGGTCAGATGGCAAAAAGCATTTCCTCAGAGGCTGGTGTGATTCAGCGGCATCTATTCATAAACTCATCAACCCTGTGAACCGATACAGCTGTCATCTGTTGGCATGAAAAGGCAGAACATATATTTGCATTTTAAAACTGTCTTCATTGCAGCAGAATATATGAGTGTTCTTATTCCAGTGAAATCATGAGCTGAATTCCTCTGTGGTGAGTTCAGAGGAAGATAACTGTAGTGTAATGTTGTGAAATATGTGTCTGGAGCTGTTCAGAGGGTAAAGCTCAGCTCTGGGCAGATCTCTGAGTCAGCAAATCACAGATGAAGATGTTTGTGGTGCAGATAAATCTGCATGAACAACCATTTACACACACACACACACACACACACACACACATGGGGACATTCCATAGGCATAATGGTTTTTATACTGTACAAACTGTATGTGCTATTGCCCTACACCAACCCTACCCCTAAACCTACCCCTCACAGGAAACTTTGTGCATTTTTACTTTCTCAAAAAAACTCATTCTATATGATTTATAAGCTTGTTTCCTCATGGGGACCTCAAAAATGTCCCCACAAGGTCAAAATTGACTGGTATTACTATCCTTGTGGGGTCCCCATAACGTGATAAATACCAGTTAAACACACACACACACAAACAAGGAAGATTCATCCAATAAACAATCTCACTTTACATTTCAGTGCTGTTACTATATAGTTCTAATGTTCTAATGAATATGCATAAACTTGAATAAAAATGTGTACATCATTTGTGAAGAGGCTTGTAAATACACTTGTAATATATCATTGTAAATACACTATTATTATATCATATTTATTAATTATATTACATTATATTATTTTAGTCAGCTGCCTAGGACGTTAATGATTGATATATCAATTATTATAATTTTAGTTCTAATGAATATGTATGACATTAATGTACTTAATAATGCACTTATTTTTGTGAAGATGTTTGTAAATACACATTATTATTATTATTATTTACATAGTATTATTACTATATAGCTACATATTTTGTATTAATGATTACGATATTATATTATTATTGAGTTGATTGCTTGTGAAATCAATCATTGTTATATTAATTTATGTGTAATTATTTGTAATTTGTGTATGCCTAATTGTTATGTAAACACACACACACACAAACAAGGAAGATTCATCCAATAAACAATCTCACTTTACATTTCAGTGCTGTTACTATATAGTTCTAATGTTCTAATAAATATGCACAAACTTGAATAAAAATGTGTACATCATTTGTGAAGAGGCTTGTAAATACACTTGTAATATATCATTGTAAATACACTATTATTATATCATATTTATTAATTATATTACATTATATTATTTTAGTCAGCTGCCTAGGACGTTAATGATTGATATATCAATTATTATAATTTTAGTTCTAATGAATATGTATGACATTAATGTACTTAATAATGCACTTATTTTTGTGAAGATGTTTGTAAATACACATTATTATTATTATTATTTACATAGTATTATTACTATATAGCTACATATTTTGTATTAATGATTACGATATTATATTATTATTGAGTTGATTGCTTGTGAAATCAATCATTGTTATATTAATTTATGTGTAATTATTTGTAATTTGTGTATGCCTAATTGTTATCTTATATTATATAACTTATATTATAGATAGGCCTATGGAACATTAACATAATCAAATATTTCTGAGTATGACTGGGCAGTCCCTGACTGTCTCTAAGTATCTCTCTGTGGTCTCGGAAAATAATTTAATTTCAACTCATCATACACATCAATATGATCATGTATAGCTGTTGATTTAATAAGTAGACATTTAATACCAATTCAGTAATGCCGGCAGTTGATAATTATTGCAAAATATTTTTTTTTAAATATACTTAAGGCCAGTGAATCTCAACCTTTTGGCGTACCGGACCCCAGTCCAATTCAGAACCAACCTCAAGGACCCCCAGAACAAAATTGCTTCGTATCATATGTGTCTTTGTGAGGACCAAATGCAGTCAAGTATAATTCAAGTTAGCTGACTTGTCCAGTCTTTGGCCATATCATCAGCTATATTGGATTTTTCTTTCATGGGAACATGTCAAAATATACAACATTTATACAAAAATTCATACTTTATACGGACCCCCTGGCTTTATGTCAAGGACCACTAGGGGTCCACGGACCCCTGGTTGAGAAACACTGGGGCTATTATGGTCTTATATAAAAGTTAAAAGCTGCTCATCATGACCACTTAATGTCAAACCTGTTTATTTTGCAATAATGTTCAGCTGACTGCTCGTTTATACCTATACTTTATAGAGGCAAAGAGTAATTTTATCCATAATAGAATTTGCTAGATGGATTGAAGCATCTGAGGTGTGATCTGAAGTTTTGCACTGATGTGTGTGAGCGGGTACATGCGTGTAACCCTTGCAACTGGCGTCACGCATCGGCTACACACACACACACACACACACACACACACACACACAGAACACACACACACACAAACAAGGAAGATTCATCCAATAAACAATCTCACTTTACATTTCAGTGCTGTTACTATATAGTTCTAATGTTCTAATGAATATGCATAAACTTGAATAAAAATGTGTACATCATTTGTGAAGAGGCTTGTAAATACACTTGTAATATATCATTGTAAATACACTATTATTATATCATATTTATTAATTATATTACATTATATTATTTTAGTCAGCTGCCTAGGACGTTAATGATTGATATATCAATTATTATAATTTTAGTTCTAATGAATATGTATGACATTAATGTACTTAATAATGCACTTATTTTTGTGAAGATGTTTGTAAATACACATTATTATTATTATTAGTATTATTATTTACATAGTATTATTACTATATAGCTACATATTTTGTATTAATGATTACGATATTATATTATTATTGAGTTGATTGCTTGTGAAATCAATCATTGTTATATTAATTTATGTGTAATTATTTGTAATTTGTGTATGCCTAATTGTTATCTTATATTATATAACTTATATTATAGATAGGCCTATGGAACATTAACATAATCAAATATTTCTGAGTATGACTGGGCAGTCCCTGACTGTCTCTAAGTATCTCTCTGTGGTCTCGGAAAATAATTTAATTTCAACTCATCATACACATCAATATGATCATGTATAGCTGTTGATTTAATAAGTAGACATTTAATACCAATTCAGTAATGCCGGCAGTTGATAATTATTGCAAAATATTTTTTTTTAAATATACTTAAGGCCAGTGAATCTCAACCTTTTGGCGTACCGGACCCCAGTCCAATTCAGAACCAACCTCAAGGACCCCCAGAACAAAATTGCTTCGTATCATATGTGTCTTTGTGAGGACCAAATGCAGTCAAGTATAATTCAAGTTAGCTGACTTGTCCAGTCTTTGGCCATATCATCAGCTATATTGGATTTTTCTTTCATGGGAACATGTCAAAATATACAACATTTATACAAAAATTCATACTTTATACGGACCCCCTGGCTTTATGTCAAGGACCACTAGGGGTCCACGGACCCCTGGTTGAGAAACACTGGGGCTATTATGGTCTTATATAAAAGTTAAAAGCTGCTCATCATGACCACTTAATGTCAAACCTGTTTATTTTGCAATAATGTTCAGCTGACTGCTCGTTTATACCTATACTTTATAGAGGCAAAGAGTAATTTTATCCATAATAGAATTTGCTAGATGGATTGAAGCATCTGAGGTGTGATCTGAAGTTTTGCACTGATGTGTGTGAGCGGGTACATGCGTGTAACCCTTGCAACTGGCGTCACGCATCGGCTACACACACACACACACACACACACACACACACACACTGAGAGTGAGTGAGGATCTCTGTGCGCAGTGCGGAGCTGAAAACATGAGCGGCTTTGCATTGATCATCAGGGTCTGTGCATGATGCATGAGACACACACAGGTGTGATTTGACAGAGATCATGCGTGCGATGCGCTCGAGCGTCTCTTCGCGGGGAAAGTGTCTTCATGAGTGTCCAAAGTAACAGCAACAGCACTGGAAGTTTGGACGGAGCGCCATCTTGCTCTCAGTTCTCGACTGGATCTCCGACCCCGGGCTCGGTTTCTCCGCTCGATATCTGCGCTCCGCGGAGCCGTAAAGAAGGTAAACCCGGCGTGGATGTCAATTTGAAGATCGCTCGTTTGAAATAAGTCGGGATTGTGTTAGATTGACGTGTTTTTTTGAGTAAATCTGGCCTCGAATCGAAGCGGTCGTGTCGGAGGCCGCTGATCTCTCGTCTGCTGACTGTGACTCTCTGTGTTTTTATAACAAGCATCCAGTCCTAGACACGAGCTGCTGTGTTTTAAACCGTTTGCGATGGAATTCTGTCGCTTTTTGTGTTGGTCGCACGCTTAATTTGACGCGAGGATGCCCATGGTCACTTATTAGGGGACTCAGTCACTGGCCGTGTCTCAAAACCTTGCGAGATGTCTACCTAGACAGCATTTTTGGGCATCATAGGGGCTTATTTTTTTTGTGCATTTTTATGATGCCCCAGAATGCTGTCTTTGTGTCTAGGTAGGCATCTCCTTGGGTTTTGATATGCAGGCAGTCTGATAAATATGAGTTGATGTTTTTGAGGTTCAGAGTATGTATTTATCACAAAGGCTCTAAAATGAGACCGAGTCTGTACCTGATAAACATGAGTTGCTGTCTGTGTGTGTGCTTGAGAATGTTTATCACCCGTGGCCTGAAATGCCAGGTAGGTAGAAACTAACTGGAGTTTAGGACATTGGCAGTATCTGGTAAACATGAGTTGCTGCTTTTATTGGTATTTATTTACCTAGTACTCTATGCATGCAGTGGCTGTCTAGGTAGGCAGATTAAGTGATATTTTAAGGTTGACAGTATATATTTTCTCATGCATTGCAAGGATTTTGAGACACAACCAGCTATATGATAGGAGTTGAAGCAGTGATTCTAAAATTCTGTATAGGTTGGCAGGTCTATATCTAAGCCGATGTTTACGCTTGAGAATCCAGTCAGCAATGCATGTAGGATGATGTGTAGGTAGGCATCTCACTGGATTTTAATAAAATGCCAAGTACCTAATAAACATGATTTTTATGTTTTCATGGTTGAAAGTATTGAATTATTTATCTAGCACTCGATGCATGTTATGCAATAGCTCAAAAATGCTGTCTAGGTAGGCAGCAGTCTAGGTTTTGAGACACAACTAGTACTTGATACACAGTAGTTGGTGTTTATGTGTGAGAGTGTTTATTTATCAGTATGAAATGCAGCAGCTCAGAAATGTTTTCTAGGTAGGCATGTCAAATTTTGGTGACACGTGATAAACATGGATTGGTGTGGTTGTGTATTATTTATTTCACAAAAAATAATATGCATTTGTTGGAGAGGTGTTGCATCTTTGTTTTAGTTTTTTTTGCTGGAATCATCCAAATGGGTTTGAACCTTGAAGCAAAAGACCATCTGATACACATCTGAATGAAATGCATTATTTAGGTCATACGGTTTCCTTTGTTTTTGATGCGTTTTTTAATGAACCTAAGTTGCACCGGTTGTTTCCTGTGATATCTAGCATATCCACCAGAGACCAGTCTGTGTTAATATGTGCTGCAAACATGTGTCTGTGCACTGATGACTGTAATATCATATGTGTTACTCAGATTCTCATGTCCAAGAATAAGTTCTCCGCCATGTATTGGCAGGCTCTGCCTTTAATTTTTATCAGTGTTTTGAAAGAGTGGAGCCTTTTACCTGCTTGTGCTTTTTTGCATTCACAAAAAAAGTGTTTATTTAAAATAAATGCTGTTCTTCTCATTTCTATTTATCCAAGAATCCTAAAAAAAAAAATGCATTGATTTCCACAAAAATACGTTTCTTAGCATATTAGAATGATTTCTGAAGGATCATGTGATGCTGAAGACTGGAGAAATTCAGCTTTGCATCACAGGAATAAATTGCGTTTTAAAGGGGTCATATGACGTTGCTAAAAGAACATTATGTTGTGTATTTGGTGTAATGAAATGTGTTTATGCAGTTTAAGGTTCAAAAACACATTATTTTCCACATACTGTACATTATTGTTTCTCCTCTATGCCCTGCCTTTCTGAAACGCGTCGTTTTTTACAAAGCTCATCGGTCTGAAAAGCGAGGTGTGCTGTGATTGGCCAGCTATCCAGTGCGTTGTGATTGGCTGAGTACCTCAAATGTTACGCCCCTACCATATTGTGATGCATTGTCCCGGCACAACGAGACAAAAACATTAAAACCCATTACAAACGAGGCATTTGTTGCATCCAGTGGGGACATAATTACTGATTATAATGACTTATACTGTCTTTTTACGCGTTGTTGCGTATCACACCGCGTAAACATAAAACCCCTCAGCGACCAGCACGGATCAGGTCCAGGCATGAGGAAGCGGATATCGTCCTCTTTTGGAAGACCAAACAAAGTAGTTTTGCTTTCACAACGAAACACACAGCGCCTTCACGACATGGCGGCAGCAACAATACTACAGCGAGAATAAAAGTTACACCTTCTTTCTTTGCGTGAACATTTGGGCGGCATTATGCAAATCTTCCCACATCGTGATGTAGACATGTGGGGGCGTGTTAGAACGAGCCGTTTTTGGAGGGCGTGGCTGACTTAACTTTTATAAAGAATATCTTTATTTTTTTTGAGACTTTGCAACTTTACAGATCTTCTTTATGCACCAAGAGCTTGTAACACTCCAAAGAGAAAGGAAAAATTTAAATCGCATCATATGACCCCTTTAAAATATTTTCAAATTGAAAACGGGTATTTTAAAAGTTCTTACAATATTTCAATATTTTTTACTAATTGTTTGTTTTTAAATACTAATTTATAAATGTAAAAGATTTTTTAAAACTTAATATTTAATATTTACCCCAGGAATTGATTTTCAGGCATTTGTAGCATCTAAAACACATGGTGTGTCATCCTTTTTTTTTTTTTTTTTTTAAATACTTCAATTGATTGAGTAACTGAAATTTTCAAGTTAAGCAATTATGACTTTTATTGATTAAAATTAAATCAACATCAGCTATAAAAGCAGCTGTAAAAATGCACAAGATTACCATGGTTCAGCCATGGTGCATGAAGGAAATCTAATAATATAAAAGTAGGCTATTCAATGTATTCATCATCTATAAGAAGTTGGATCATTATTGTTTTATAATATTTAGTGATCTCTTGATGGACAAACTAGGATGTGGCTTATGTGTTTCCTGGTCATTTGCTTTCACTCATTTCCACTCCACCTTCTGTGTGTTTAGGAGGTGTCTTATTTAGCCCTGTTTTCTTTGCTGCTCGGGTTATTTGCCAAAGCAGACGTGGCCTTAGGTTTATGTTTACTCATTCCCAGTGGTTTGATTTCTCATCCGTGTCCTTTATCTGGGCAGCTGTGCTCTTCCTGCCCTGTTGACCTTCATAATTTTCCACCCATCCACCATCTTGGGATCTCTTTGGCTTGGAGCTCTTTCTGGCCACGAGTCTTATCATGGCAGTGGTGTCGGACGCATCCGCTGCGCCTGTGTTTATGGCTGGAGAACACAAGTGAAGCTGAGCTGTTTTGTCTAGTCACTGTAATGGAGTTTGAAGACCAGATGCTTTCTTTAGGCAGGTTTTATAGTAATGATTCATGCCGTTATTAGCTGGTTGTCCTTATCGGCTGCTGATACTGTATTAGTCTCATGTGCTGAAGAAACGGGGGCCATTTGGCTGCTGCTTCAGTGATGATGAATTCTGTATTCAGGCATCTGCTGCCAGATCATGTCAAACATGATAGGAATAGTTGAACCAAAAATTTAATTCTTAGACTATTTAATCAGCATTCTTAGCAGATTAATTACATGTTTGCACAAAATTTACAGTACCATTCAAAAGCTTGGGGTCGGTAAGTTTTTGAATAAAGTCTCTTATGCTCATCATCAAGGTTGCATTTATTTGTTCAGAAATGCAATAAAATCTATAATATTAGGAAACATTATTACATTTTAAAATAACAGTTTTTTTTATGTGAATGTATTATAAAATGTAATTTATTCCTGTGAATTTTCAGCATCATTACTCCAGTCTTCAGTGTCACATGATCCTTCAGAAATCATTCTAATATGCTGATTTGCTACTCGAGAAGCATTTCTGATTATTATCAAAGTTAAATAGATGTTCATATTTTTGTAAAAACATGATAAGCAGGGCTCATTTGAAATATAAATCTTTCGTAGCATTATAAATGTCTTTGCCGTCACTTTTGATCAATTTAATGCATTCTTGATGAATGAATTAAAAAGTCTCACTGACCCCAAATTTTTGAACAGCGGTGTATGTATGGTAGTCTATATCACCAAGTATTATCTGTAATATTGAGGTCACAGTGATATGTGGAAACACACATTAACATTACATTCTTATGTTAAATTGTAGATTGTGTCGTCAATGTTTACTGAAGCTAAAATAAGGTGATGGAGCTATGCTGTCAGTGGCATCAGCTGATAATGAGCAGGACACGTCTCAAAGTACTTCCTGATTGTAATCCTCACTCCAGCAGAAAGAAGCTCGGTTGAAGTTTGCTGTGAAAAATGAAAACGGATAAAAGAGCAGATGGAAAAATATGGATGGGCAGATGCGAAGCACATCTTATTGTACACATATCGTTGTCAAAGTCTGGCCATTTTGAAACGAATTAATATTCGCATGTAAGTCTGATGTGATTGTAGGCCTAGTTCTGTAGCTGTAAACCTTTTCTAGGTACTTTGCCTTTAAACCTGTAATCTGAGTAGGTGTATGATCTTCTGGCTCCTTTAGGGTGGCATAGCATCAGAAAACAATGACTGGATGGTCTCGTAAGATTCCAGGAGGATGTGTCACCGTGATCACACCCCTCCCGAACCTCAACCCTGCATACCGGTGTGTGAACGTGTTGAGATTGACACGTGATTGTGTGTGTCTTTAGGTATGGATGAACTGCATTCTCTGGATCCACGCCGGCAGGAGCTTTTGGAGGCACGTTTCATCGGAGCAGTTAGTGGAAATACAGGAGGAAGCACGGGGAGCGCGAGTGGAGGACCTAAAGTAATGCACACGCATGCAAACACACATGCACATATGCTTAGTTTGTGTGCATTTGGGCTGGATGATGTTTTGGATTCTGTTTCATTGTATTTTTATTTTTAATTAATTATTATTTATATATAAATTTTAATACATTTTATTTTTGATCATTTTGATTTAAATGTCTCTCTCTCTCTCTCTCTCTCTCTCTCTCTCATATATATATATATATGAGTTCTATTGTGCACACTCTCTGTAATGGTCATAACCTGTACCAAACCTGCTTTGATCTTTCTATTTAGGGTTTGAACAATAACGAATGTTCCAGTCACAGTTTTGGCAGCCTGGGATCATCTAGTGACAAGGAGTCTGAGGTGATCATTATACTCATGCATACTCATTGAAGCTTTGTATTTATTGAACAGATCTGTTTCAACAATTTGTTTATGTGCTGTCTGTGTCTAAAACGTGTTTTTTTTTGCCTGTAAAGAGCTCTGACATAAAGAAAGGAGGATCGCCTGCGTATTCAGTGAGTTTGACATTATTTGAATAGGAATGATTGTTAAAAACAAAAATATAATAATGTTCCAAATCCACAAGACCATAAGTTTTCTTCCATGGGACACAAAAGGTGCATTTTTGAATATCTTGGTTGCTGTGTGATGAAAGTGAATGGAAATGACTAATAAGAATCATTAAACTGGTCCGTTTGAGTTATGAAGGTATTATGTGATAATGTTGTTGATGTCAAATGTGACATTCCATAATTTGAAAGCTGCAGTGGAGAGAATATTTTCAGTGAATAACAACTTATATTTTAGTCTCTTCCTTCCGCAATGCTGTATTCTATGTCTTCTAAGGGCAAAACTCTTATGAATCACTTTTGTGATAGTTTGAGCGTTTTTGTCATTATTGGAGCTTGTCATCACCTGTCCATATTCACTTTCATTACATTGAAAAGAGCATGCAGCATATTAATAAAAAAGTCTAATGGGTTTGGAATGACATGGTAAATGATGTTTTGTACAAATGCAGTCTGGAAGCCTCATTGGTGAACTTGTACAGCTCCTTTGAGGCCTAAATTCAGCTTGGAGCTTACCTAAAGCATTTACTATTGATTGTATTGATTGAATAGAAAAGTAACGCTTTTTCCTGTTTTCCCAAGACTCCAGAGAAGAAGCACTCCGAGTCATCCAGAGGAAGAAAGAGGAAGGTTGACAACCAATCAGAGAGCAGCCAAGGTAACGTTAACTTCCTTTGTGTATGAATGAAGCACATCTTAATGAGACTTAGAGTAAGTTTTTCAATAAATTGTTAACCGTCCTGGCATTTTGGAAACGTTTAAGCTGAGAATCATGTGCTGTATGTTTATTAGGAAATAGAGCATTTAATGTTTAGCGCAGAAATTATGAGAGAAAAGGGATTGTAACCAATAACCATGTTTTTTTGTTGTTGTTTTTTTTTTTAAACCTCTCAGGAAAGTCTTCCGGCCGAGGGCCCAAGATCAGCGATTATTTTGATGTAAGTAAAGCTTTGTGTGGATGACTCTGCGTTTACTCAGCTCTGTATTAAATGTCAGTCAGGTGTCGGAGAGCTTTTAGTCAGAGTAATGCTGCTTTTTCATCTTCTAATGGCTGCTCCCTTCAGTAGATGTTTTTGACTTGTAGAGTTGTGAAATCGCTTGAGCATCGTCAGTAACATTGTGATGATGTCACATCCTGTTAGTATGTTGTGTGGTGCTGTTAAAAAAAAAACTCTGCATATCTCCTTCCTGAAGTTCCAGGGAGGAAACGGATCAAGTCCAGTCAGGGGCCTTCCTCCGGTCCTGCGCTCACCACAGAACTCTCACTCTGCACCCGGCTCTATCGAAACTATCGGCATTGATTTTTGCCGATAACCGATAGTTCCAGCAATCAACTATCGTGCCGATTAATCGGCAAAACCGATACATTGGTCGACCGCTAGTTTATATGAAGTTAATTTTTCAGTGTTATTTTAGGACATCAAGATAAACCAAATAAAAATGTTTAACTTGATGTACTAAAAATAAGTGTGTTTTTACATTTTATTTTATTTTAAAATAACGAAACATTTTTGGGGATTTAGTTAACTACTGTATAATAACCTTGATCAGGCATGGCA